CAGGAAAATTTCCATCAGAAGTGAATGCCTGGTTTCCTGTTGCACAGATATCTAGAAACACTGAAACAGAGAGGATCCAGGCTTCTTTCCAGAGGCCCCTGCATCTGTGTGCATTTGATAGTATCAGGGATGACCTTCTGCTATGCTTCTGGATCTCCTACCTCACCTGCGAACTGCAAAGACTATGTCCCAGAGCAGCTGAGACACATTCAATCCCTCATACTTGCTTTGCTAGAAGGAGAGTGAGCATAATGCCAAGTACAGCAACTTACACCCAACATTCATTCAGCAAAACTCAGGTCAAATATGTTGTCAGGGAATTCTGTTCAATGCCCTTGTTCTTGCTCTGGACATGTAAAATGCAGTCTGTAGAGAACACCAGCAGTGACAAACACTGCAAGTCCAATTGCTCCTTAGGTGGTCCAGATACGGTCTGTGGCCAACTGAAGGCCAGGGCCATCATATTCTACTGATCTCCTAATGCTTCTGTGCTATTGATGAAGCTGTTGTCGTTGGATTGGGGATGCTTATCTCTTAATTTTTCTGGAAAGCTGAGGATGCTTCTGAATTCATCACACCTCCACAGTGCCAGCAATGCTGCCTACTTTCTGTGCAGGAAGGAGTGGGGAAGACTTGCCAGCTCCACGCTCACCTTGTGCATGGAGAATCTGTCGTGTTTACAACCTTGACTAGAACTCACAGTTCTGCAACTGTTGCTGGCTTTGCAGAATGATTTTCTCAAGATGTCAACTTCACATAAATTCTGGGCTATTTTCCTAGGTTTCTCAAACTGGGGGTCCAGAGGAGATAACCTGTTAGACCACAGGAGTTTATAACAGTGTGTTCAGAATCAAGGTCAGCTGAAGTCAGTTTTCTCATGGCTTGGCTGGGGCCACAGCCAGGAGGCCAGAGGGTGTAGTAAGGTTGAGCCACTCACCAGGGCATGTTATGTTATTTTGGGTTTTCCTCAGTGGTCTGCACTGTCACTCCTTCAACTTTTATTCTTCCAGATTTATTAAGATATAGTTGACAAATAAACATCATAGATATTTATTGTGTACAATGTGGTATATTGATAGATGACTACATTTTAAAATGCTTCTTCCAAATTATCCATACCTAGGCATTGATTTCTTCCTGATGGGACACTTGGACTCTATTCTGTTTGCAAACTTCAGGTATACAATATACTCATCATGCAATGCATTATATCCCCAGAACTCACTCATCTGACAGCTAAAAATTTCTTTCCTTTGGCACACAGCCCCCAATTTTCCCTACCCTTCAGTCACTCCCCCAAAATCTTCTATCCTCTGTTTCTGTGGTCAACTATTTTTTAGATTCTGTTAATAAGGGAGATTATGCAGTATTTGTCTTTCTGTACCTGGTTTACTTTACTTTGCACAATGTCCTATAGGTTAATCCATGTTGTCACAAATGGTAAGATCACTGATATTTTAAAAGCCGAATAATATTTATTTATACCCATATATATATGTGTGTGTGTGTGTATTTATACATATATATATTTATATATAAAATATTTCCCTAGTGTCTGTAGGGGATTGGTTCCAGTATCTTTTTTTTTTTTTTTTTTTGACAGGCAGAGTTAGACAGTGAGAGAGAGAGACAGAGAGAGAGGTCTTCCTTTTCCGTTGGTTCACCCCTCGAATGGCCGCTACGGCCGGCGCACTGTGGCCTGCGCACTGTGCCGATCCGAAGCCAGGAGCCAGGTGCTTCCTCCTGGCCTCCCATGAGGGTGCAGGGCCCAACCACTTGGGCCATTATCCATTGCCTTCCTGGGCCACAGCAGAGAGCTGGACTGGAAGAGGAGCAACCGGGACAGAATCCAGTGCCCCAACTGGGACTAGAACCCTGGGTGCCGGTGCCGCAGGTGGAGGATTAGCCAAGTGAGCTGCGGTGCCGGCTCCAGTATCTTTTGTGAATAGCAAAATTCATGAATGCTCAAGTCCCTTCTGTAAATTATATCATAGTATTAGCATATAGTCTATACATATCCTCCGATATACTTCAAATCATCACCATATTACTTATAATACCTAACAAAATGAAATGTCATGTAAAAAGTTGCCATACTTTATTATTTAGGGAATAATGGCAAGGGACAAATCCATACATACTCAATACAAAAGTAAATTTTTAGAATATTTTTCTAAAAAAAATTATTTATTTACTTTTTTGAAAATCAGAGTTATAGAAATAGAGGGAGAGATAGAGAGATAGAGATAGGCGATAGAGAGGCGATAGAGAAAGAGAAAGAGATAGAGATAGAAATAGAGATATAGATAGAGAGAGAGAGAGAGAGAGGTCCTCCATCTTCTAGTTCACTCCCCAAAGGGTGCAAAGGTTAATGCTGTACCAGGCTAACGCAAGCATCCAGGAGCTACATCCACATCTCCCACATGGGTGGCAGGGGCCCAAACACTTGAGCCATCTTCCACTGCATTTCCCAGGCACATTAGCAGGAACCTGGATCAGAATTGGAGCAGTTGGGGCTCCAACCAATATCTATATGAGATGTTGGTAATCCAAGGCAGTGGCTTTACTGGCTATGCCACAGTGCCAGACCCCTAAGAATATTTTTAATCTGTGGTTGTTTGCACCTAATGATGCACACACACACACACACACACATTTTCTTTATCCTTTCACCTATTGACAGATACTTAAGTTGTTTCCATAGCTTGACCATCATGAAAAATGCTGCAACTTACATGATTGCATCTATTTTTTTCAACATGTTTATTTCCTTTTCTTTGGGCAAATATTCAGTAGAAGGACTGTCTGATCACATAATAGTTCAATTTTTAGGTTTATAGGAACTTCCACTTATTTTTCATAATGGTTGGACCAATTTATATTCCTACCAGCAGTGTAAAGTGTTAATTTTCTCCACATTTTGCCAAAACTTCTTATTTTTTATTTTTTTGTTAAAAGTCATCCTAACAGTTGTGCTGTGATGTCTCATTGTAGTTTGGATTTGCATTATCCTGGTTGTTAGAGATATTGAGCATTTTTTGTGTATCTGTTGGCCATTTTTTATGGTTTTATTTTTTATTTTTTTGGTAACAATATCTATTCAATTCCTCTGTCCATTTTTAATCAGGTCATTTGTTTACTTTTGCTGTTGAGTTGCATGATTCCTGATATATTTTGAATACTATCCCCGTTCATATATACAGTTGGCAAAATATTTTCTGCAATTCCACATTTCTTTTCCATTTTGTTAAGTGTTTCCTTTGCTGCTCAAAAACTTTTTATCTTCATGCATTCCATTTTTTTTTGTTTTGTTCTTGTGGCCTGTGCTTTTAGCATCATATCTAAAAGTTCACTTCCAAGACTAATGTCAAGAAATATTTCTTCTATACTGTATTCTTACATTTTTGTAGTTTCAAATCTTATCTGAAGGTCTGTAATCCATGTTTAGTTAGCCACCTCAATGGTATCTGACACTCTTCCCTCAAACCTGCACAACCCTCCTTGCTACCCACCCCTATTGGAATTTACCACCCTCTGTAGCTTACTAATTTGCTTTACACTGTAAGTCAGGCAAGAAATTCTGCTTGTTGATTCAGCCTGTGTTCTCAGAACCTATGTCTGGTACCTTGAATACACTCTGTAAAAGCTTAGTATGTTAATCAATATTGGCAGGACTTTGAGAATGGACATGTACCCTATTTTGTCATGTTTCAATGTCATGAGTGTGTGATAGCAACTTAATATTCATAAAATCTTTCCTATACCTTATCCCATCTTGATTCTCACCTCAGGCTGACATAGCCACTACTATTATCATATTCACTCTGTGAAAAATCAGGCTCAGACATGACATTATGTTTCCAAATTCATGCAGCTAAGAAGTGACATCACTTTGACCTGAGCCGGGTATTGGATTATAATGAGCTATGACTTGAACATTTTCTTAGATATGTGGGCAAAGAAGAACTCTAAAAGCCAAAAGCTTTCATGTTTTTCTATTACTAAAACCTTGCTCTCCCCTCCCCTGGCTTTGGAAAAAAATTAAAGTCATCAAGCACTTGGTCTTCTATTGGGATCAAGGATAGATAGAAAGCAAGATTTTTTTAGTTAAGTAATTTCACTTATTGGAAAATAGCCAGATGAGCACATTGAGCAGCTTGAGGCTACCTGGTAGCTTGTGATAGACAAGGGTCTTGGTGGGGTGGGGGAATCTCTCCAGGAATTTGTTTCCCTCTCAGCACAAGATTGTGGAGTGGAGTGAACCATGGACTGCTTGACGGAGTTCCTGGAGACATGGTCAGGCCTGTTGCACTAGCAAACCCAGTGGGAGGCTGAATTCATTCAGAGACCTCCAGGAAAATGTTTGTTAATTAGAACAAGTACTTGGCTGCAGACAGACATGGGTTCTGATCTGAGCCTTGTGACTTGTTACCATTGGGACTTGTGGCAAGTTAATTAAGCTTTCTAAATCTTGATTCTTTATAAGAAAAATAGCATCAAACCTGGCCCAACATTACTTGACCTAGAATCCTGGCTTCTCTATTAACCAGTTGTGCAAACTTGAACATGAATGTTAACACGTATGCCTTGCATTTCTCATCTGTAAATGGGGACGATTTAGTGTCCTTATTGTTACATGACATACAGGTTAACTAAATTAAAATGTGTACAAATTTAGAAGAGTGAATAGTCATTCTCGTTGTCATATCATTTGACCCTATTTACTTCTTGGCATCAGATGGAATACATATATTGTCTTTACTGGCTTCCTTCAAAAGCAGACCTTGTGGCAGAAGCTTAGATGTAAGTAATTTGTCTGGCGGCATTGCTAGTGGGGGTCAGGAAGTGAGAGAGAAGGATGGCAGTTCACAATGTATGTATTAGGGGTCGGTCAGTGTACTGTTGTGGGCATTGAAGCCGCAATCTTGCAGACATTCTCTGGGGAAAAGAGAAGGAATGCCTGACAACTCCCTCTCCCAAGAGTTGAAGGACTTGCTTACGCATCCACTGGTTGTCGTCCATTGTTGGTTGAAAGTTGCTTTGGGTATATTCATTCTTTCTCAATTTCTAGCGACAGAAAAAATATACTTTGAAGGGCAGAAAAGCCAGGCCTTAGGCAGAAGGTGTAAGGCATTCCTGTTGAGAAATTTAGGGGTTCAGAAGTGAGTTCTTGGGGCAAGAAGACAGTCTTGCCATAGGCAAGTGTCAACCTGGCTCCTAACTGGTTCTTAATAATTTTCTGAAACCTTCCTTCTACCATTTAAAAAAAAGTTCTTCAGGTCAGATTCTGTTCTTGCAGTCTACGTAAACCATTGTCTCAGAAAGAAGGAGACAGAAATTTGAGGGCAAGTAACCGACTTGAAGGATGACACTGGAAAACAACCTTGAGATTGGGGAAATGAGCCAGAAACTAGATTTCAACCAACAGGAAATGCACTGTTGTTGAAGGCACTGCTGTGGTCACTGGGCCTCATTCCTTCATGGACACTCTGGGGGCAGTGCAGGGAACACCTCAGAGTTGTCTCTGGCAAGGAGCAAGGAGGCTGCAGTGATACTGATCTACCAAGTCCCTTTCAGTCAAGAGATGGATGACAGCTGCTTCAGAGCATTAACTCTACAGTGAGAGGGAGCAGTTTGCTAATCCTGCTCCTCATTGCAGTATCTGCTTACGAATTAGAGGTTAAAGAATGTTGCCTTCTGCCCAGCGCCGTGGCTCACTAGGCTAATCCTCTGCCTTGCGGCGCCAGCACACCGGGTTCTAGTCCCTGTCGGGGCGCCAGATTTTGTCCCAGTTGCCCCTCTTCCAGGCCAGCTCTCTGCTGTGGCCAGGGAGTGCAGTGGAGGATGGCCCAAGTGCTAGGGCCCTGCACCCCATGGGAGACCAGGGTAAGTACCTGGCTCCTGCCATGGAATCAGCGCGGTGCGCTGGCCGCGGCGGCCATTGGAGGGTGAACCAACGGCAAAGGGAGACCTTTCTCTCTGTGTCTCTCTCTCACTGTCCACTCTGCCTGTCAAAAAAAAAAAAAAAAAAAGAATGTTGCCTTCTCTTCAGCACATATCCTCTGTTGTAGCAAAAAGCTGATCACTGAAAAAGGATAGTGCACTGAGTCATCACTAGTCCCATCTTTTGCCTCCCCTCCCTATTGATGCAACATCACATGAGACCTGTGCCCTCTGATCTGCAAGATAGAGACATATTTGTCTGGTCCCATAAAGTCCTACATTGACACTTATGCGATCCAGACAGATTTTCCACCAGGCTCTTAGGATAAACCTCCTATCATTAGGTGGCATTTCCCATGTACTGTTTACAAGTCACATTCATGTGACAAGTGCATCCCAGAGACCTGAAGTTCTAACTGCAAATGCCAAACATGTTTTCAAGAATGCTTTGGAGTTGAGTCACATTGAATGAAACCTGAACTCAGACTTCTGGTGGGCCCAATCCAGACTGAGTTATGTTTCCTTCATAACAACATAAAAACACAGCAATGAGATATTGCAGGAACAATTCTGATGGCTCAAAGCTGCTCTCTATACCAGGGTGCATTCACTGTGATGGGCTGAGGAGCCTGCAATGTCAATCCAATGTCATCACCCTTGGTAAACTCATTATCACAAGGTAGTTCTGGTACAACTGCTTTGGAAAGAACTTGGTTTGACATCATCTTAATTAACATGGACTCTTTCTCCTGCAAAGATGAGAATTAAGCCAAAATCCTATACCTAGCTACTGTTTTCTAGCCCCCTGAAAGCCACTCTGGTTTATACCCAGAAAGAGAAATGAACACATTCAAACTGCTAAATTTGGCCCATGTCATTCCTACACCTGGATTGCCTTATTTCCAGGCAATGCTGCACGGGCTGCCAGTCCCACTCAAACGAGCTTCTTATCTGTGTGCGCACAATCCTTCCTATCACTTCTCATGGAATCGGCTGGTGGTCTTTCACTCACAAGCACGCTACAGTCAGTCAATACATGTGAAATATGTAACTTCTTCTCTTAGGTTTGTCGCTCCCCGTCTTCGTGGAGGAACGACACAGGACCCTGCGCTGTTCTTTTGTCTGCTCGGCCCTCCCCGGGTTTGCTGCTGGTTCTTCCCGGGTTGGCTACCGACCCTTCCACCTCCGTGGAAGGGCGGTTCCCCCTGCCACATTCCCCACTTCCGCGGGGGAGCTGCACACCACTGGCTGGCTCTCTCGGGGGCTGCTCAGGTGTTCCTTCAGATAGATGTTCCTGATGCATGTTGTCTCTCTCCTCCTTTATAGTCCTCTTCCACCAATCCCAACTCTGCTACCCACACGCCGAGTACGCTGCTCTCCTCAATCAGGAGCAGGTCCTACAGTTTATTGGTTGAACTGGAGGCAGCTGTGTAGAAGCTGTTACTCCCTTCTCAGCGCCATATTGTGGGAGAGCAGATGCATAGAATAAGTCTTAATTCCAGTAACTTAGTCTAGTCCGAGTTGCTCCCCACAAGGTTGATCACTAATTTCCTGAGTGCAGGAAGTCTGCACCATTGATATTCCACACTTGACTCTTCATAAATGGGTGCTGAATTGAATGTAATCCACACAGCTGAACTGAAGGATATGTTATATCAAAAATAACCAAATAGCCTAAAAAAAAAAAAAAACATAAAAATCTGAAAAAATTGGCGGCGCCACGGCTCACTAGGCTAATCCTCCACCTTGCGGCGCCAGCACACCGGGTTCTAGTCCCAGTTGGGGCGCCGGATTCTGTCCCGGTTGCCCCTCTTCCAGGCCAGCTCTCTGCTGTGGCCAGGGAGTGCAGTGGAGGATGGCCCAAGTGCTTGGGCCCTGCACCCCATGGGAGACCAGGAGAAGCACCTGGCTCCTGCCATTGGATCAGCGCGGTGCGCTGGCCGCAGCGTGCCGGCCGCTGCGGCCATTGGAGGGTGAACCAATGGCAAAGGAAGACCTTTCTCTCTGTCTCTCTCTCTCTCACTGTCCACTCTGCCTAACAAAAAGAAAAAAAAAATTATGGGACACCTCAAACCTACAAGAAAAATGTTAAGATCTAAAAGACATGGATCATACATAAAGTTATTCAAGCAATTGGAGATTTATTTGAAAAGATACGTATATGTAGAAAGACAAATACACAGTAACTCTTGGCATTATATAATCAGCACCAAAATTACATAAACAGTAAAAAGAATCCAGGATGTAAAGGAAGGCAGTAGAGACTCACCAGATGAGGAGACCAAGGATAAACTTATAAGGCAAAGCCTCTGCTAAGCCTTGAGGAATGCCTGGGATTTAGATAAATGGAGAAGAAGCTGAAAAGACAGAGAAAACATATGTCAAAAAAGCAAATCTGAAGCTCTCCATTCTGTCAGTTAGAGCCTTTCTTTTTGTATTATTAAATTTTTAAAATTTATGTAAATAGAACAAATTTCATGTATCTCATACATAGAATTTTAAGAACATAATGACACTTCCCACTGCATGCTCCCTCCTTCACTCAGTCTCACTCTTCCTCCTACTTCCTTTCTTATTTTTCTTTTAATTTTTGTAATAATATGCTTTTTTTCTTTGAGAACAAGTTTTATCATTAATTGAAGAAGCACCTAAGGAAACAAGCAATGGCATTGGACCCTTAGGCTTATTTAAAACTTATGAGACATAAGAATATCCTCTACTTAATACACTAAAACAAAGTAAATTTTTGAGAACAAGTTTTGCTATTAGCTTTCATATTATAACTCTTTGAGGACAGAGGTCCTGCATGGGAAGTTAGTGCACAGTGACTCTTATTGTTAATTTAACAATTAACACTCCTATGTATGACATCAGTGATCACCCAAGGCTCTTGACATGAGCTTCCTAGGCTATGGAAGCCTTTTGAATCCACAGATTCCATCAATATTTAGACAAGGTCATAAGCAAAGTAGAAGTTCTTTCCTCCCTTCAGAGAAAAGTACATCCTTCTTTGATGACCACTTCTTTCCATTGGGGTCTTACCCATGTAGGTCAATTTTTTCCCCAGTGTCTTGACTTTTCATGCCTGAAATGCTCTTGTGGGCTTTTCAGCCAGACCAGAATGCCTTGAGGGCTGATTCTGAGATCATAATGCTACTTTAAGCAATTGTTGTTCTATGAGTCTGCTTTGTGGACTGCTTATAGGTAAAGGCAGTACCAACCTATATACATGTATTCTGATCCAGAACTTCTCAGTACTTACTACATCCAGACATTATTTTGTGCACTAAAGATGCAAAAGCTAAACCTACAGAGGAAGCTTATGTCCTGGTAGAATAACAGAATAACATAAATGAATATGTAAACCAAGGTAGCATTATAGAAAATGATAGGGTGATGTGTTTTAAACTAGACTCTTGGGAAAGTTCATTCTGAAGAGGAGACTTTTGTGCTGAGGCTCCAATGTTGAGAAGAACATAGTCATTGAAAGAAAGGGAGAACTTCAGGCAGAGAAACAGCAAGGCTAAAACCTAGAGAAGGTAACAACCTCATCTAGCTCACAGGGCATGAAGAAGACCATCATCACAGAGATAAGGGCTGTGATTTATACAGATTTGCTGTACTGAATCCAAGATGCTACAAAGCCTTTCAGGCCAGAGAAAGGGATTTGGATTTGATTCTAATAGAAATGGGAAATATTTGAGGGAGGCTTTTTAAAAAATGTTTTATTTATTTATTTGAAAAGCTGAGGGGAGAAAGAGAGAGAGAGAGAGAGAGAGAGAGAAATCTTCTACCTGCTGGTTTACTCCCCAGCCACAATAGCCAGGGCTGGGCAAGGCCAATGTCCAGAGCCAGGAGCTTCATCCCTATCTCCCACAAGCGCTTGTACCATTTCAGCTGCTTTCTAGGCACATTAGCAGGGAGCTGGGTCCAGAAGTGAAGCAGCTGGGATGTGAATTAGCTAATGTGACATGATTTCTTCTTTGTTCAGTGTGTGGACAAGATTATGAGCCAAGGGACAAAGGGAGATGTGGAAACAGGAAATGCCCACAGAAATCCTTTAAAGAATTCCAGGTGAATGAAGGTGGTGGTGTTGTCTGGAGCTATAATGGTAGCAATGGGGAAAAAAAGAGATGATTTTGAATTTCATTTTAAATTAGAATGAGTAGAACATGCTGAGACCTTTTCCAAACCAATCCATCAGTAATCCACATTTTACCCTGTTCCTGCCACAACAGACAGCCATAATAGACAAAGCTGTCATTACTTAACCTCTCCCTCTTCCGGCCACATCCAACAATCAAGCTGTTTCTCAAACAGAGCTTCTCCTTCATAAATGTCGCTAAAGGCGCCTTCCCATTCTCAGGATGAGTCCGATCTTACCTTTTCCTCAAAGGCTCCCAAATTTATTATATGTAATATGATTTGATACATCATATTATATATAACCTGAGCATAACAATAATTTCTCATATGTTTTTATGTGATCTCATCCACAAGAAATACTACTGAATAAAGAGAACTAGATCCAGCTGAGAAAAGTCCCATTGAAAAACCCAAATTCATGCCCAGGTATACCTTAAACATATACCAACTACCTCAGTTCAGAGCATGCATTATGAACTACAGCCATTCATATCTGACATCATAAATTTCTGATTGATTTCATATAACCCTCTTTCTACCGCTTCACAATAATTCACAAAGTTCAACCATTCCAAAGCACATTTTTACAAGCAAATTTCAGGTGTTGATTGAGGTAAAGTTCCATAATTATTGCAATATGTGTGTATCCATTAACTTTATTATGACTGCTTTCCTATATTTGTATATGTTATTGTCTTGGTCTATCATGGCTAATATAACAACATGTCATAAAGTGTTTGGCTTTTAAGCAAGGAAATTTATTTATTACAGTTCCAGAGGCTAGGAAGTTCAAGATTCGGATGCCTGCAGATTTGTTGTCTGGGGAGCGCTCATTTCCTGATAGACAGCCATCTCCTTCCCAGAACCTCATATGGTGGAAGGTGTGAGGGATCTCTTTGGGGTCTCATTCAGGAAGATTCTATTTTCTTGATCTGATCACATGTCAGTAGCCCTTCTTAAGAGCATCACCTTAGGGGTTAGCATTTCAACATGAATTTAGCAGGGGTGGTTGGATATAAATATTCAGACTTTGTAGTTGCTGATGGAGCTTTTATTGTTATTCTCCAGACTCCATGTTTCCTATAAGTCCTGTTTTTTCTTATTGAATAAGTTTTTGTGCAATATTGGAATGCGTATGTTGCATTACAGCAGAATTTACTGTGGTTGGTTGGAAACAGGAATATGGATCTAAGAAAAAGTTAAGATATACAGACTTTGCAATCATCAGTGGGTCAACAGTAGTCAAGTCTGTGGGAATTAATGAAGGTGCTCTGTGAGAACTTGTAGAAAGAGACTGATGAGGAATTCAGAAAACATCACATTGGTACAAAAAAAGAACCAGTGAATGAAATTAAGAATAAACTGTGTAAAGAAGAGGAATCTGCAGAAGACAATTCTGTGGAAATCATAAGGAAGCGAAATTCTAGAAGGAAGAGAGATGGCTATAAAAAGAAAAGTTCAAATCAAGTAGGTTGGTCAAAGAGTGAGAAAGTTAAGAAATGGCCACTAGATTTAATTTCCTCTATCATTAGTCCTTCTTGTTAGCCACAGGTGAGAAGAGTCTGACCACCCAAAGGAGCACAGTAATCAGAGCCATTTGGCACTAGACTCAGAGACATAGAGTGAATGAAAATGCTTATTCAAACCACAGGGGAAAGAGCATTAGAGAAAAATGGTAAAATGATACAGTGACAAATACCAGATTGAGGCTCAGAAGCTCTATTCAATTCTTGAAAATGTTGCCAAATAGTGGAATGGTTTTAAATACTTTTTCTAGGCACATTCTCTAGCATTTTCTTTAACAAAAATTCATCTTTATTATGCATGCATTTTGTAAGTCTAACTCGAGTAATAATTGTATTTTCCTATTTTACAATGAGTTGCCTATTTGGCATAAGTGATGGGAAACCACTTCTAGGAAATCCAGGCTTTCTAGATCATAAGGCCAGAAATGACACATCATTGACTTGGCAGCAATATCATCTAATTGTAGGCAAAGTGCTGGGTTGAAAGCACAGAGAATTGATGGTAGACTGAGAAGACACATAAAACATGACTTCTGATCAGAGGTGGGACAAACTATGGCCCAAGGGCCTTGCCCATTGCCTGCTTTCATTAATAAAATGTTACTGGAACACAATCATGTCAATTTGTTTATGTGTTGTATATGGCTGCTTTTGAAATGCAGTGACAGAAGTGAGTAGTTGTAACAGAGACCGCATAACCCACACGACCCAATAAATTCACTTTCTGGTTTTGCACAGGAAAAGTCTGCTGCTGCCTGTCTATGTCAAGAGGAATACGGAGAATCCAAATAAGAATGTACATCCAAAGTTGGGAGAATTAAATTAAATTTTCTAATTACTGGTCATGGCATTTTTTCCAATTAAAGGGAATTCACTTTAATGTTTCCATCTTAAATCTTTAAAGTTAAACCATGGGCCGGCGCCGCGGCTCAATAGGCTAATCCTCCACCTAGCGGTGCCGGTACACCAGATTCTAGTCCCGGTCGGGGCGCCGGATTCTTTCCCGGTTACCCCTCTTCCAGGCCAGCTCTCTACTGTGGCCCGGGAAGGCAGTGGAGGATGGCCCAAGTGCTTGGGCCCTGCACCCCATGGGAGACCAGGAGAAGCACCTGGCTCCTGCCTTCGGATCAGCGCGGGGCACCGGCCACAGCGCGCCAGCCATGGTGGCCATTGGAGGGTGAACCAACGGCAAAAGGAAAACCTTTCTCTCTGTCTCTCTCTCTCACTATCCACTCTGCCTGTCAAAAAAAAAAAAAAAAAAAAAGGCATATAAAGTTAAACCATGCATCATGTCCTAATTTATATAAAATGGCTCTTAATGATAAATATTACATATGTAAGAATACAAATGACTTTAGAAAGTAGTTTAGAAGAAAAGAAAGAAGGAATTAAGATTAACTGATGTGCCGGGTTCTGTATTATACCAGTTTTCCTGTTTCCCAGGAAAGAAAATCAATGCTTCAGAGCACCTTTTCAGCTTTATCCACAGAGATAGTGGATCGGCTTGGAATGATCCCAAAGATTGTTCCAAGTTCTCTATTAATGGTTCTCAACCAGGGTGATTTTGTCCTCTGGGGACATTTGACAATGTGAAGAGAAACAGATAGGGCACATGCCACCACTAACACCTACACAGCAGAGGCTAAGATACTGCTCAATAGACTACAATATACAGGATTTCTCCA